GGCGGAGTTGTAGACGTCAAGAGATGAGAATTCTCCTAATCTGATGATCACAAGCTATCATTTCTGTTATAGAAAGATAAATTTGTTATCCAAACACGCCATATTCCCTGAAGAAATCACTTATGAACTGATCCAAGCAGAAACTTCATGATCCTTGAATACAAGTCAGAAGTTCACAGGATTTTTGTACACGTTGTTGCACAGCATTATCTTCCCACTGAACTGCCAGTGTGTTTCTCACCGATTTCGGATAACCGTTGTCAAATAAACATTTCTCACCAATGTATGACTTCTCTGCAAGTACAGCTTTGGCATGTGTTTGAATACCTTTCAAATAATTTCTCTCCGGAGTTCATGTAAGAGCGCACTTTGAAGTTAGAGAAACTTTATCTTCAAATCTCCTTTTCATGAATGTACCCTGGAATTCTACTCTCTGTCGAGTGTGACACCGAAATACAAAAACAAAGAAGACTATTGTTTCATTCGAACTGCATTACATTTTTCAGATTGGAATCGACACAGTTAGGAGGACTTAGGAAACAAAGCACGTAACTAGGGTCACTTGAAACAACGAATGTATCTTCAGCATATCCAGCATGGAATTGATTGTCTGCTCAATTCATGGCAAACCCATTTGTCGACTAATGAATAAATTAGACAATTTCACCGTTTTGCTACAAGCATCCAAATTTAGGATAATATCTCGATGAAAGTGAAAGTAAACATAAGGATATGGAATGTTTCCGCACGATGTTTGAACCAATCATGGCTGCTCAAATTGAAAAAGAGATGAGAAGGTATGGCATGGAAGTGCTAGGAATCTGCGAGACCAGGTGGAATGGAAGTGAACTCTGCAAACTGTCGACTGGATGGTCAATAATCTACTGCGATATTGTCACCCAGGTGACAACCACGAGCAGAACACACTGAGTTTTGGAGTGGCTATCATGATTTCCCTTGAAGAGCATCGAAGGCTCTCATACAGTGGAAACCAATCTTCTCATGCAGGATAAGCATCATGACAGCAAGTTTCAACTCAGAAGGCAGGAAAGTCACAATCATACAATGCTACGCTACTCTACGCACCTACAAATAATGCAGATCAGGAGAAGAAGCAGGAATTCTACAAACAACTGCAATCAGCACCGGATAAGACCATATCCCAGTTGGCGACATCAAAATCCCAGTGGGTGATATGAATGTCAAACTAGGAGCGGACTATACAGCAAGAGAAGTGATCATGGGTGGAGAAGCACTCGGTGAAATGATGATGAATGGGAATGGAGAACTGTTTGCAGACTTCTGCGCATTATATGATTTGGTGATTGGAGGTGAGGCAGTGTGCACAAACACAAGGATATTCACAAAGCGATATAGAGTTGATTTCTCTAGATGGACACACTACACTAGAAATCAGGTCGACTTCATCTGAATGTGAAGAAAGTGGAGACTCAGCCAGCCTACTGGACACAAGATCAGATCAGATCAAGAAGGAGAGCAGATGTAGCTAGGTTCACACCACTCACTACCTGGTGTAAGGAACCTTCACAGTCAAGTTGAAAGCCTTCAAACAACCCGGTGGTGATAGACCACAGTTCATGTTCAACACCCAGAACAGAAACTACACTGGAGGACGCAACTACAAAGGACATCTTCACGTCGTCAGTCATCAGGAAGAAATGGGAGACATCAGGCAACATCAACGAGGACACCTGCTTGCTTGGAAGAACACTGGAGCTCTTTGAACGAGTAGAGAGAGGAAGATGTCGAGGCAGAAGATGAATCAGTACAATGCAGTGCAGGGACGCAAAACGAAAAGAGGAACTGAACACATCTTATAAAACACTGCACCGAACAAAGAAGTGAAGAAGAGTGGACGGAAAGACACAAGACACTTGGAAGACGCATTAGCAAGTGAAGCTGAACAGGCTGCAGTTAGGAGAGATAGAGACCTGACAACACTATATCAAATCACCAGGTTACTATTTGGGACGAGATGAACGCAGATGAAACCAGTGAAAGATAGTGAAGGAAAGCTAGCTACCACCAAAGATGAGAAATAAAGGGAACAGTGGGCTGATCACTCCATAAAACTCTTGAGTCGGCCACTACCATTACCACCGCTTGCAACTGGTCCAGAAATACCACCAGCAATGGCAGAACTACCAAGGAAGACAGGCCCTCTAACAAAAGCAAAATTCCTGAATGCCATAAAACTGCTGAAATCCGTCCGGTAAAGCAGCAGGACCAGATGGAATTCCACCAAAAGCACCGAAAACGGACACAGAGACAACAGCGGACATGCTGACACCGTTATTACAGAAGCTTTTGAAGGAAGGAAGGAAGGAAGAAAGAAAGATAAGGTACCTGCAGATTGATCGGAAGAAGGTCTACCTTGTCAAACTCCCAACAAGGGAGACCTAAGTCTCTGCAAGAACTGGCGAGGAATCATGCTCCACCCCTGTTCACCCAAAGCAAGCAAAATATTAAGCCGCATCATCCTGAAGAGAGTAGAAAATGCTCTGCATTGAAAATTACAACTCGAGTAGACTGTCTGGCCTCAGGAAGAACAAATCATATGCGGATGGAATTGCAGCTCAGTGCAACGCTACGCATCATCTTATAACAGAGCATAGAATGGCAGTCAGCTCTCTACCTCAACTTCATCGATTTTGAAAAGGCGTTCGATAGTGTCGACCGAGAAGTAATTTGGCAGGCAGTTGCTTAGACACTGTGGTTTTAGTGCCACAAATCTATATCAACCTCATTCAACAGCAGCTATATGCCAATGTGATGCTACATGGCAAGTGATTCACAGTGGAAATCTCAGTGACGTCTTTGAAGTAAAGACAGGTTGACAGATAAGATAAAGCTACCGCCTACTATCACCGATGATCTTCCTGATTGTGATGGACTGAACTGGACTGGACTGGATGATGCAAGAAACTGTGAGGAGCGAGAAGAGGGGCGTATACAGTTTGACCGATGAATAGAGCCTGGAAGATTAGAATTTCGCTGGTGATGATTTTTGTCTAATGTCTAATGTGGCACAAACTCAAAGATTCACAGGCAAAAACCGACATGTCGACAGAAGAGGCAGGACAGCGAACACGGGACTTCCTTCCGGTGAACGTAGAGAAGACAGAGGTCGTGAAGATACCCAACCAACAACACCCTCAACAGCAATCACCGATTGGAAGAAACCTACGAGAAGTAGTCTCTTTCACCCACCTTCCTAGGCAGCATCGTTTCAACCACAGGTGGCACAGATGAGGTCATAAAAGCCAGGATCGGAAAGACACCGAGACAGGCCTTGCTGTGTTAGTCTGAAATTAGTGTGGAGATCTACTGCTCTCAGTATAAAGAACGGGATGTAGACTTTCAACATCAATATCATGTCAGTGCTGCTATATGGTTCAGAAACTTGGCACGTCACGAAAGGCATTTCCAACAAACTACAGACATTCATCAACAGCTGCGTACGATAGCTCACTCGACACTGAAGATCAGATGGCCAGGAAGGATAAGCAACAAGAAACTCTGGGAGCGAGCCAACCAAGAACCTATCACCCAAGAAATATGCAGAAGAAGAAAGTCGAGATGGTTTGGACATATACTGAGGAGACCGACTGCGGACATCACGCGTCAGGTCAGGCCCTCGAGTGGAATCAGATTTGGAAACCACGAGTTGGGTGTCCGAGACGAGTGTGACATGGAGGAGATCATGTGAGGAAGAAATGAAAGTTTGTGAGCAGTGGTGGAGATTGGAGAGAAGAGAGTGCAACGGAGACGTGCTACTGAAACCCTATGTTCCACTAGGAACCCAAGGGAAAAATAACAATAATAACAATAGCTAATAAAATGCATAGTTACCTAGTTTTGACCTCAGGTCTCTTCGATAAGCTCAACGCCGTTATCACCTGGCATTAACGATGAAGAGTGAAGTAATATCTTGAGATTAGTGTGTGGTATTATCACATGGTTCTAAGGATGTAGGCAACCTGGCATTACAAAGTCATTAGATAATTTCACGGCGTCAATTTTGAAGATTTCATGTACGAATTAATCATATATTAGTTTCAGTCTGCTACTTATCCAAGGTAACCACTTATTTTGTTGGCTTTACTGAAATAACACTATGAACATGATTTCGATGGAATAAACAATAACACGCATACACTTCCCTTTTTCAACAATTCCCTGAAAAACAAAAGCTACTGTGTTTCTAAGAACAAAAGATTAGCGCAGATATGGCATAATCAGTAGGCTTCCTAAAGGAATTGAGTGTAAGACTGAAGTGAATCTTAAGAAATTATTCATAGAACAAACACTGTGACATTAAAAATTTCCAGATGTACTTTTCAAAAGTAATATGGAAGCGTTCATACCTGAATATACAAAGCTTAAGAAAAAGTAAACAGAGCTCACAGCATTGCATATTAATTGCCAAAGGATTCTTTCACTTCCAAATGGATCGAAAAACATCACAGAATTTCACATATAAAACGACATCAATCAACAAAATCGAAGATCAAGGCGAAAATATGGACAGTGTTAGGAACACTTTCACCAATCTGTGCTGATGAAAATGTCCAGAATAATGAGAATAAAATCTGCACGATTCAAGCATTCAGATGAGAGAACACAACAGTATCATGAGAACTGGAAATTGATTTTCAGCCAACTAAAACAGAAACACACCAATTACTCCCCCCTTGAGTAAAACCACCATAATATTTCATCCACAGCTAAATATCAATATGTAGGTTAGAGCAGAACACGTCTGATTGGATTCAAACTCACTCACTCACTGACTGACTGACTAGCTCTAAACGTGTCTGGTCGACTGTGGATTGAGTGAAGACAGTCCAATTTACTTGAGCTTGAATCACCAATCAACTGATGCAGAAAACCTTTGAAATCTACCAATCAGTAGCTGAAGAAGCCGTTGTTAATTATTATTTCAACTGTATAAAATCAAAGAACTTGTGACATATGCATAATCATGAAGCTTTGCCTCCTGTATATCAGTGTGGCTACCACGTTTCTGGCCATATGTATATCTTCAGCACAAGGTAAACCTATTTCGAAAGTTTTATTTTCCGAATGCCATTGCATGCACCCTTCACTGCTTTAGACATTATTGACTGTGTTGAAGAACAGCTCTCCAGTTCATTCACTTCACTCAATACACGCATCATGTTCTGATTGAGATAGGGCTCATTCACCAGTAACACATAGTTGCCAACAATGTGCAGATAAGGTTTTCTTAGCTTACATGATGCATGATGACGAGGTATAACACCAGAGTGATGAAAGTGAAACACAGACAGTACTCCAAGAGTTGCAAAAGTAGATAGATATTTATGACAGTACATCACTGGTCGATAAATCACTGTCACGATTTGAGATATCTCGAAATTCGAAGAAGTCGTGAAAACAGTCCTTGTCCCCTGTCTTCTTCTCTCCTGTGCATATGATTATCAAGGTGATTACATGTGATATATTTTGACAAGAACTAGCTAGTGATTGCTTGTGTGATGCTTGTGGGATAACTGTAACCGAATGCTTGTATTCCTTGTTTCAAGGTGGAGTAAGTGACGAACCGAAAATTGGTAAGTTATTCGAAGGTGAACTGAGATCCACTCAATCATATTGTCTTCATTGAATTCAACGTGAATGTGCGAGAATTACGCATGTGCTTTCCCCTGGTTTTCATAATTCCATGGATGGTTGAACCTGCCTCCTATTTCTGTGCAATATTTGTAATTTGTTCAGGATGAATAAGATTCACTTTTGAAATCATTATGAGGTTTCGCCTGAACCAAATGCATTTGAACATTGACATCTAGTGAATAATACAATGAATGATATCAGTGCCACATTGTCATTGATGTTTGAAAGGGACTGTCATCAGTTGGGGATTTGGAGCTTGTTGAAACTGCTGGTTGCTGGTCATCGTTTTCTGAATTGGAGGGGAGTGACTGAGTTGAGTGCAATAATCTCATTGTCATTTCTTACAGGATGACAAGCAGCATGATACTTCTTGTCTTGAAACAACACTTGTGGAACAATCCACTTTGAGCACCACTTCGAGATATTCTCATTTTGATCGGTCATTCGATCCGACACACATCCACTTCTGTCTGACCTTTCACTAACCAGCTGCTTTACAACAATACTGAGCATGTTCAATCAGAATGTGATTGATTCAGTTGTTTCTCCTCTCTGCTGTATGTCAATCTCACAAGTGAGAGGAGAGAGAACAGAGGTGTTCAACGTCGCGATCAATCATGAGATGCATAGTTATTGTGGGAGTAGTTTAACAGGAAGTGGGAATTCTTCAAAGTGAATGAAACAAGATTCAACAGTCGTCAACTGTGTCATATATGGTATGACAGATTTATTCGATTACGGCATTCACTTTCAACGTCAGTTGACCAACCAACCTCGACAGGATAATGTAACACTGACTGAGTGGTGATTCCGATCGATAGGCTAGTCGAAGTATTTGTTAATTCCTTTGACATCAGGCAAGTTGCGAATGATGAAATTTGTCTCATTTTGTTTTCACACCTTTTGAATATATCTGCATGTCTCTGAAGACATTTATTAATATAGTGAAGGAAATTGCTGATCTGCAAGTGGGATGATCATGAAGATGATGATGATGGTGATGATGCAGAAAGCAGTGTACTGAAGGAAGTTTATTGAATGAGTGAAAGACGCCACGGCTTCTCCACCTATTCACATCATTGTTCACAGTTTCAGAGAATTTCAATTCCATCAACTTGCTTTAATGCTTCACTGAGGAGTGAGGCGTGAACATGAAGCCATTCAAACTGCGTCCTGTAATGACTATGATCAGTGTGCTACTAGTCATGTCTCAAGTATCATCCGTCAGCTTCGATATGCACTTACCAACTGTGAATAGGTACATCGATCCAGATAATTAAGTGATTGCTTTGTGCATAACTGTTCACTGGCATGTTTATTATCAATCCATTAACGTTATGAGTTGTCTGCTGTCAATGTCTTTCAGATAATGAACAAACAGTTAGTGAACTCACAAATGGTATGGTCGAATCTGAAGGTGAGAAGAAATTTTTATGTCTGCATCTCTGATATATGTGGATAATAATATTTTCATGATTAAGCACACACAAATCCCACAGATTTATTAGTTCCTTGTTGGCTTTTTGACTCTCATTTTGTTGTTGTTTAAGTGACATATCGGCGTCGATTTTTTTAGTTTTTCTCCTGGACAACGCTTCCATGATTTTTTGTATTTTTCTACGTTTAATATGAATACCGTGATGTGTTTCTTCACATTTTTGTTGATAAGTTTTACCTTGGCCATCTTAAATTTTCATTCTGTTTCACTGCGTATGGGGAATAATTTATGAGAATTTTGTTTTTATTCATTTTTCTCTTCATTTAGGTTTGGTTGCTGCTCATTTTGTGGCTTTGCGGAATATTCAATTGAATTTCACCAACCTTTTAAGTAATTGTTTTCTTGTGTTTTTATTTACGTATTGTGTGTTTCTTTTTTCTCTTGTTGTTACTTTTTTTGTCATGTTTTACCTGTTTCCATTATTACTTTTTTGGACGCCATTGTGTGACCGGTCTCTTTTGTCTCTAGATTACTTCAAGCGAATTCATCTTTGGCATGTTACAGCTGCCCGTCGGCAAAGTTTTTGACATCACTCTTCACCTAGATTCATTCTCTGATCACTAGCTGTTTATCATGTCAATCATTTACACCAAATTCATTAATAAGGGTGTATATATGCGATTTTATTCTTTGTCTGATTCATCGATCATTTGATATTGAACCTACATTATGCTACTCGATTATAATGATCAAAATTATAAACATTCAGGTGAGGGTGTTAAGAAGGGACGATGATAACTTGCAAAACAGTCACTGAATGAGTGTTTCCTTTAAGGCTTCACTAAGAAAACATATAGCTACATTTTTTGTCTGCTAAATGTTCGAAGCTCTTACATTCGCTCTTTTCTTGAGAACTGCTGAGTTATAAATCATCATGCCCACTACGACAATGAACATACTAAGTTCGGTAGAACGTAGAAGTTTAATGAGCGGTGATATTACATTTATTTACATGTAGGTGGTTTAACACTACAAAATATCATGAATTCTGCTGCCTTAAAACGTTCTGATGCTCCAAAATGCTCATCATTTCAAATTTCACCATAACCTGCTTGCAACCTATTCAGCGAATACTAGTAACAAAGCTTTTTCCATATTCCAGATAAAATGTGTGGTAAACATCCCATTCTAAGGAATATAACTCACCTGAGAGCAATAACAAGACCTTTAATTTTGCTTTCTCGAAACTCCTGTATAAATGGAAACCTACAGAAGTACATGGCAAGGATGATGTACCCAGGCTAGTGGATTACTATAATAAACTCAATAACTTTTCCATGAATTATTTAAATAATCGTTCACGTATATAATCTATGTAGTTCAAGTATTAATGGAAGCAGTAATGCTCCTGTTCGTTGTAAGGTGTCATAAACACATCTAAGATATTGCTGGTTTCAAAGAACATTTCTGGTTATTTCAAATCTAGCGGTGATTTGAGCATCAACTACGGAACAAAGAACAACATGCAATATTCTTATCTTTGTTTTACAAGCAATTGAATTCTAGATGACATTCAGTAGTGTATGTATCGAAACGCTGTCATTAGAACTTTTGGAAAAAGATGTTCTCATCCAATAATGCTAAACAGAGTTAGTAGTTGTAACAATACCTATTTAAATCATTTGAAAGAAGATGAAGTTGGAAATAAATAAAAACATACAAGAAGTGTCATTTCTACGGGACACAGATGAAAATCCGGATGCATGTGACAAAATCCTTAAGTACCTAGACTGAATTACTGGAACTCAAAAAAATGCATCTCCCTTAAGGATAACTGTCAAGTATTGTTTACAACTGTAACTGAAATATAGAGGTCACTCAAATCACACCTTAACATACTTAAATGCTCTGGTTGCAATGATAAATCCTATTGCCCTGTCAGCTTGTCAAGTCACGAAATATAAACACAGCAGAAAGACTGTGAATCAACATTTTCTTGTCTGTGTATCCTATCAAACGGAGTTGCTGTTTATAAGAGCAGTCTGAAGTCTGCAGATCGACTCATTGAGTGATTTCCGACGCTTTAAACACCGAAAAGAAACTCTTGAATATAGTCAACTGACTGTAATTGTTTCATAGATTAGCAGAACTCGGCATCGACACGTTCATGAAGTATTTTATCACAGTGATATCTTCCAGTAGATGTTAGTATTTAGCTTTTGGTAGACAGATTTCAAGAATGTTTATTCATCTCATCTTGAATTCCACTTCCAAATGACTAGTATATTTCTTATTTGTTTTGAAAACTTCCGAACCGAAATATACTTTAGAGCTTGTGAGAAAACTTGAAGAACTGAAGGAAAGATATGGTATGGATTTGGATATATACAATGCTTACATAGTCGAACGCATCTTTTCATATATAATACATATATGCCAATGCTTTCAATATCGTCTTCAACATTCATCTGTTAACATTCTGATAATTTTTCAAACTCATTAGCAATATCTAACGCTGTTGAGACACTTTTTGAGTATTTAAAATATTCAGTTCAACACGTTCCATGATACTTTCAACTCACAACACTTGGTTTAACTTCATCAGGTGATCTTTTCCAACCAAACGCTGCCTCTCTTTCATGGTTCAAAGAAGAAGTGCGTTATTACACAGGTAATAAACAATCGCGTTTGTTGTGTTCATAAACCATTACTTAAACTTTTGGATAGGGTGAAGGCGGTATCCTTCTAAGTACACTGGGTGTAAAATAATTTGCCATATTTCATATTCCGTCATTGGTTCAATTTAGTAAGGTGTGCCTTTGTTGACTTTCAGAAAAAAATAATGATCCTCTAGAAGACTGTTTAGCCGATTTCACCAGAGAAAACCCAGCTGGTGAGTGAAAGCATATATTTCGGTTTCTAATAATAGTGGTTTGTGAAACGAAAATTATAAAATTATTTCCTTTGACATGAAACATATTTATCGACATAAAGTCAGTATGTAAAACAAAAATAGGCTACAGTAGACTCATGAACATAAATCTGATACGCATATCATCTTTTATGCAGTGTAAAATATTGAATATACGGTGTCAATTGTTGATCCAATTTTCTCTTTTGTAGAAGCCGCTAGTTGAATAAAGGGATAACTTCGATATTTGAGGTTCATTCCAATTTTCAGAAATATTCGGGTAAGATAATACTGCAGACTATATCACTGACTGGAGTTTGCAAAATGCACAGACATTTCAAACATGCAGACACTTCTAAAATGAATGTTCGTGTACTCTTGAATAAAGTATTTGAGTTGAATTTCACCCGTTCATTTTCCTGTTAACATCAGTGTTTGTGTCCGTAAACTTTCAAAGAGCAAATCAAACGAGTATAATCCCAATAGGCAAACCTAACTATTCATCATCTATTTTGTAATTCTAGATATAAAAATACGTATCATTAATGTTGTATAAACTCACAGTGAGTTACTTATTTGTTCAAAATGAAAATCAACATTGAAATAATATCTGTGCAAATGATAGACTGATTCTTCTTGGTGTCAGCTTACATTTTTTAATAACTCACACTCTTACTTCTGTTCTCTAAGTCAATCTGTATAGATAAACATGTGATAAAGTGACTTCAATGACGTGTGAAAAAGGAGTACGGTGTGCTCTGGGAAGAATATTCATTTGTGTGTTGAAACAACTGACAAATTTGACAGCTGGATTTGACGGATGCTTATTGTTCTTGTCAAGATCAGATCGAGGTCTGAAGTCATGAACTGACCGATGTGTGGTTTTCATTCTCACTCTGTATGACCAGATGCTACAAATGTTTATTACGAAGCAAAAGGAGATGGTAACATGCTGTGAATGCGTTTGTGATAATCGGATCAACGAATTTCTCTGTGGAAAAAGCCATACCAACTTTCTGGTTCCAGACATTGAAGAACAGTTATTTCAGATTTACAACAATCAGAACGATTAAAGTGGTGCTGCATGTTCTTTCTTTCTTTGTTCAATATGTTACCATGACATTGGTACATTCTCGTCACAGACGTGTTGGATGAAGAGTACTTCCATTCATTGCATTTTCATTACAGCTGATAAAAGGAGACAATAATTTTACATTTCTGCAGCCATGAATTCGAAATATAACTCATGGTTTTCACTGATAAGACTTCACCATGAGTATGCTTTGCATTAAAGCTGACATCTGTATTGATTTTTACTGCAGAATAGGCTGCTGATATGTCACTGTGCGTTGTGATGTAATCTACTCTTATTGAAAAGGCCAAGAATGTTGGGTATGAACCTCATCAGTGTTGAGGGAATTTCCTTCCTTCAGCTGATGAGGCTTTCATCACACTTGGACTCACGAATATTTGCTGCAAGAAGACCAGTATGATGTCCAATTATCTGAAAAAATGTTGATGATACAAACAATTTGTATTTTCTGACATAATTATTTTCTGATGAAGAACCTTCCTTGTCAAGCAGTCTGTCAATGGTTTGTCGAGATAATCAACTGACATCGGTTAGGTTGGGCATTGATGTTCTCATAGATTGGAGTTGTCTTTCGTAGTGGTGATCACATCCTTTCTCTCTCCAGCAGAAAGAAGTAATGATTAACAGACTGGTGAAAACGGTTTACAGAGAGGTGAAGTCGTATTCCAAGAATGAATTCTCTTGGATAAATGCGTTAGACTAGACTTCAAGAATTGTGTGTCAATAAGGCAGACAAAATATATCCCCAACTAATATATTCTTTGTGCTGTTGAAAAACACTCACATTGCTGCATATTAGTTCGCTTGCCTCCTTACATTTGCAGATAAATAAACATTTCATTTCTTTCCAATTTTTTAGGGAGAATATGAATATTAGTTGATATCATGAAATTCGTTCCACTAAGTAATGAAATTGTTAAATTAACAGACGATAACAAAAATGTTTAAGTTGTGTAATCTGTTTTTCTGTAAAAGTTAATAATAAAATTCTCATTTCCTTCTGAAAAGTTTATACTAACATTGACTGTGTTAGATATTTGATGGATTTTAAACTGGGATAATCTGTCTTGTCAAGATAATAAGAAAGAGGAGAAAAAGTGTGAATGCAGTGACATTATTACATAGTCAATAGATTATTATGATAATTCCAGCTGCATTTGCTAAGGCTACGTAAGTCTCAAGGTGGGTTAGTCAAAGTACTCAGGTATAACTAAAAAGTGAATAATGAGCTAATTACAGTTACATATTGAAAGCTCAACTAAGTTGATGCGCTAATGACCAATAATTTTGCATTGAAAGATAGTGAATCGATTCAGATAGCTTATTACTTAAGCTAGACAGTTAAACGTCGATGAGAATATATGTAGTATAATTGCCAATGTGAGAAATAAGATTGTTTCATCTTTGAATAGCGGTCGAATCGAAGTGATTGAATTTTTCTCAGAGGAAATATTTTGAAAGTCTATTGTAAACTGTGGAGTTAATTCAAAACCAACAGGACAATGGGGATATGAGCAGACAAAATTTAGACAGAATTCTTCATGTATCATAAGCATTTTTCTAAGTTGAGAATTTAAACATTGTCTGAGGTGGCGTCCACTTAGCTCAACTCAACGGTGGACATAGACAGACCGCATGGCTATCTGCCATCACTTGATAGAAGTCCTCTTGCGATATTCACAGAGGAATCATAATATCTGAGGTTCTAGATTCTGTAATCACTAGATGCCTGAGGGGAGCTCGGGAACAGCAAGCCCAAGACAACCAGACAGGCTTCATACCCGATGGTGGGTGCATCGACCAAATATTTACACTTGACTGGGTTCTGGAACACGGGCACACTGATTATAGTAGGTTTTGCGGTAGACCTACAATACATAGATGATATAGTCCTGTTAAGGGAAAACACTGACAGTATACAGAGTCTTCTAGACGCCTTGAGTTGTAATTTTATAATGCTTATAATGCTTTTCTGGTCACCCAAGTTCAAGTGGTTACTGCAGGAGCAATCTCCAAAGGTACCCCGGCCAACAATAGAAGGTGAAGTAGTTGGGCGCGTTGAACACTTCAGTTACCTGATAGGTCGGATCAGCCCTAGCGCATTTGCCGGTGGCCAACGAAATCTCTGCGCCCATACGAAAGCCTCAGTTGGTTTTTCCCAACTTGCGCCATCAGTGTCGCCACCGCGACATACGATTGTCTATTAAAGGTCGAGTGTATTGTGCTGCAGTCCTCTGTGTTCTACTTTATGGCTGTGAAACATGACCATTAGAGTAGAAGACATGAGAAGGCTTCAGGTGTTTGACCACCACTGCTTTTGTCGGATAGAGCGTGTCACCACATGGGTAACGCAGAAGCCAGGCGTAGAGTTTTAGGCGGGAGAGTTAAGACAGTTGATATGGTTGTGAACCTTCATCGACTGAGATAGCTGGTTGAGACATATGTTATGTAGGTCTAACCACTGTTTGGTTGGTCGCACAATGTTGGCTGAAGTAGATTCAGGCTGGATAAAGGTTCGGGGCGGTCAGACTAAACTATAGCATCAATGCATGAAGTCGTTGACTGTTGGTTTAAGTCATATAGAGCAACGCACACCAACCGGTTGGGGTCCGTTGGACAAGAGGAACCAGTTTTTGGAGACTCTAGATGATATGGCTGATAACAGATGTCCTCATCTGAACCGCTATACCTAATGTCACCATATTCCCATTCTTCCTTCTTCTACTTCTACTTCCTATGTTGATTTTGATGATGCTCATATACTGACAGTAATTAAGCTGCAGGAAAACTCCTTCTCAGTGGTCTTTTGATTCTTGCGTCTATCCGCTTGGATATTTAACTTCCCTTGAATGTAAGGCGTGCTTATTGAAATGGAACTAGACATACATTGTACAAAAGGGGGATAAGTGTTTCATCTCGATTTTGGCAACCGTAGAAGATCATGAACCTACATCAGTTGGAGAAACATTGGGAAATTGGGATAACTAGACAGTCAACTGTTTCGCGCTAGTATGGTACTCCTCAGGAGTGCGCATCCATGAATTTCAACCTGAAGTCAATTAATAAACCTCCACAAACCTTCAAGTAGAAGATCAGTTTGCTAACACTTTTTACCGAATGATACACTCATCAGTATATTTGTAACTAAGGAAGTCACATCGTGTGACATCGATATGATCTATTTTGCAGGAAAATTCAAATATATCCTTAATACTGTGGATCACTAACTTACTTTAAATGGACTCTAAAAGTCCTGTTAACCATTTTGCCAGTTTTTCACATGGCAATTTTCAGATTAGTACAATTTCATTCTAGTGAAAGATGTTGTCTCCACCAAAACTTGGACGCCATATTCATGGCTTTGAACGTTGGAACATTATCCCCTAGACGACCACTTAGGCAAAAAAACTGCTTCTTATATAACGGGCCTTCGTTATTATAAATTTTGGAGGCTTATAATCTCCCACTGTTATGCTGGATACAGCTAATCGACTACTGGATCCCACTGCTAGCCAGTAATAAGTAAACTACAATGTAATGAATATTCAGACACTATCGAGACATCCTTATAGGAGAGAAAATGCCAACGTATCAGGTCGACCAACTGATAAGTATATAACTTCTTTCCTTGTCTCCATTTTAGTTGGAACACTACTGGAATGATGCAAACGTACTGCAGTACGTCAATCACAGACTATTATAATCTTGTGATGTATGTAAATATTGTTGTGTAGATTAAGAAGATGACACTGACGAACTATCACCCGTTTCCTTCAGATTGTTCACTTCTAGATCCTCACAAAAATGAGAGGAGTTTCCATTTCAGTGTTGTATTCTCGTATATTTCGATGATACCGACGGGGAATGAATTCCGTACTCCCTAGGGACTCCGAGGAAATCATAAAGCACTGAGGAGCTGTTTTGCAGTAGTCTAAGACTAATCAGTAGGACAGCCCCAGTGGTTTTTTTACGAGATCCAGCTCATAATAATTCAGCTATCGATTTCCAAAAGTTACTCAGTAAGGGTAGATCCCTCTGGTGAGTATCGGCTTATATTATGTGACATAGTACCACATGATTAGTATTGCATCGAAAGAACAAATTAGCCAGCCATGTGGACTCTAACGTGCATTTGAAAATGGTATCATTAGCACCATCCATCTTCTGCTTTCAAGTAACCTTACTACCACAGAATTCAGACTTAGTAGAATGCTAGTAGACATAAGTATGCGCTCTATATGTTTGTGTTCTATTTATACTACTTATCAGTAGGCACAACTAATTGGTAAAAATTTGAATTTGAATATTCTGGCTTTCATTTAAACAGCATAATTTTTCATTTAACATGGTTGAATCGCCATTCTAAATGTTTTCTAGGGATCAACTTTAGAAAGAAAAACGAAGAAGTTCCAATCTTATAGACTTGGAAAGGCGAGTCGTTTTAGCTGATGATCCCGCATTGGTGTATGTCCATCAGATCTTTAGTAATATGACACTGAATGTCCACCAGTAATGGCATCTTATTCGAACTGCGAGAAATCCCTAGATGATCAATGTACAGCAATTTAATTTGAAGGTTTTTGGGGATTTATTTATTGACTTCAAGTTGGTATTCACCACGGACTGACACTATCTGAAGAGAACGATTGAGAACGGGTCGTTCATCCTAGTGTTGGTCTGCTTAACACAGAGCACCAATGACCACAACAGTTGTCATACCTAAAACCTTCGAGCTTCATGGGGATTACATTAGCATTTACCCACTGGGTCGGAATCAAATGGTCCATATTTCCCACTTCTGTCACTTCCGAATTGAATTTATCTAGAGTCCACTGGTGATTAGCTTCGAGGGGTGATTCCCAAAGTTCCAATGACAAGTCGTTAAGTGACCAGTCTAGTCAACCAAGTGGAACATGAGGAAAGGTACTCAACTGAAAACACTGGATGTAAGTCGCGCTATATCGTGAAGTGACAGTAATAGGAAATTCGGACCTCTGGATTACAACCGAGTGGCTCAGTCGTAAGATGCTGGCCACGGGACCTGAAGGTGGTTGGTGCGATCCCAGGTGATGCGCGATAACGGTGGCGCACTTCTGAGGAGGAAACAGCCAGCTGTCCATTGCTGCCAGGTTTCAAATATTCTTCTGATTGATGGCATTACATGGTGAATACCAATTGAAGTGCCTACCACTAGAAGTCACATCAGAATATTATCCTCGAACTATGGGACGAATCACTTTACCATACACCATAGATATCTCGAAAGCTGTCGACCCACTACTCCACCAACCAATTTCCTGCAGAAAATCTAATGTAAACTGGAGGATGCATTCACAAAAAAAGACAAAATGATTATAGTCTAGAGAAAATGTGGGGGAATAGACGGTTAACATAATCGTGTTGGCTAAGCCAGTCATCAAGTAGACCAAAGAATTTATGATTATTAACTTGTCATTAAACGATATGATATTTCATAATTGGTATTGATGCATTTCTATAGAATAAAATCCCCAAACTTTGAATGTGATGACGTTGAGATAATACTACAACCAAGCTGAAAAAACTTCAAGAGAGTTACTGAGGGCAAAGTACTCGGATGAAGTGGCAATCAACAATCAAATGAACATTGACCCAATATCTGGTCTATTAAGAAAGGATCAGCTAACTGAAATGAATCATGCTAACCAATCAATAATCAGACATTAGGTGAACGGAATAGAAAAATTGGTCACATCAGTTATAAATATCATTCCCTGATAAAAATCCAACATATCACTCCTATCCACAAGCCAATAAAACTCTACTTCGATAAATATCCTTCACTTAAAACTGCCTACTATATCAAACACGTAATTCTATAAGCGGAAGTTAAGATACTTTCGATAGAGAATGTATTACACGGCAACACGATACAAATTAACACTTATACAATTTTGATCAAAGTAAACTCAAAACTGAATGTCAGCCTTCTGTTTTGATCAAAACACTACAAAATTATAATCTGACCTATGTAAAAAGTGTCAAAATACACAGATTTTTTTATTCGAAGAGTAGTTCCATACTACTTGTTAGTAGGCTGATGATGAAATATTTCAAAAAACTTTCATGAAAGATTTGGTAGGTGAATTCATTTTTTATTCAACATAATTTGAAATTTAGAAGCAGGATAGCGGTTGACAGATAACTTTACACACCAAAAATTTATGAATATAGAGAATTTCAACAAAATAAACTATACAGACGTGAAGTCAAAAGTTGGGTCAACAATACTGACTGTGTAAAACTGATAACTTTTTCCACGAATATATTTGAATGTATTTTTTCATAATAACCTGTTTAGATCAAATTGACGAAAAGCTTTTTCCCGAAGAATATCGTTTCTATTAAAAAAAAAACAGCACATATACTATTTTTAGAATTGTATTTTATGCTTCTCATGAGTAGGCAAAATTATTCTAAAAATATTTGAGGAGGTAGAAATATTTGGACCACACTGAAACCCAGTACCAAGCAAAACTGCCATAATTAAATTTGACTGTTGTTTAACATTTTGATATCAGTTGGTTTGTATATCCATCTACATCATCGTGGGATTGGATATTTCTACACACAGTTTTTTAGTTTATTTAGCTCATGTCATCACTATACCAAGGTAGGAGGCAATGAGATGAAATGCAGAGAAATGAGGAATAAGGTTGCCAGGAGAGGTGAAAGAAATGCAGCACTTATGAAGTACAGTGTGGCAGATCAGATTCAGATGATGTATGAATGTATCTACATCACTGAGAACACATTTGAGCTATATATCATCTAGAGTCTTCAACCACTGATTTCGATTGTTACGTGGAAACCCACTAAGCAGTCTGGAGGGCTACATTGTAATCAGTGACAGATCTGTCTACATCCAACCTTTTCTCATCCTGAAGCTACTTCAGATAAGGTTGCACTCCACGGTTAACATTTCCAAGTCATTCAGATTGTTGAAGGTTCAAAATCTTATCAACTTATTGATATAGAGCTGATACCGACACATGGCCTGTAGTATGGAGACACTGATGTTTGAACACCTGAAGCTTTGTCATTTTCTTCAAGTTTCGAGATCCTGAATCAAAAAAGAACTGGAACACAGTAAACTCACCCTCCAAAAAGGTAGTAGAATAACATGACGGCACCATAAATGGCATAATTTAGCGACTTTCCAAGTGAGTGAAGTAGTTGACAAGCATATCCATTTCACTACCCATTCCTAAACACCGAATCGAATGTCACAAACTTATCCTAAACATACTTGAGCGCCACTCAGAAGTCTCTGCATCTTGTCACTGTCTTCATCTAACACGACTGTATATCTAGTTAGGTGTCTCTTTATCTGGAAGTGATGGATGGATAACACAACGATAAAACATGAATTATAGATAGATTTTCGATTTAGTTAACTAGTTGTAGGTAAGGTAAAATTCGTTCGACAGCACAAGAACATTTAATTAGGAGTTTTGTTTGGATCTCACTGTTACTGAACGCCAGCCAGTGATTAAATCACTCTGATCTAACTAAGAGTAAGACGGTACGTAGGTGTAATTGACGTTACATGTTGTATCTTAACCTGGACGTTGCGTATTAAGTGATCTATGGTTAAGATGGTTTACCAATTCGCATGATAATCCATAGCGGTAAGCATCTTGAAACAGACTAAGGAGTTGAACAATGACATAAGTGCTCCTAGGAAGTGAGATTGGGCCTCGGCTGATGAAATCCCACACCATGTATGAACCTACCAAGGTGGCCCAGATTGCCAAAGAGATGAGAAGGTACGGCATGGAAGTGCTTGCAATCTGCGAAAGCAGATGGAGTAGAAGTGGTTTCTCGAAACTGTCACCTAGAGAATCAATAATCCACTTCGGTCAACCAGGTGACAATCACGAACACACTATGGGTTGTCAACTATCACCGATGACCTTCCTGATTGTGGTCGACTTCATTGGACTGGATTTGATCATGAAGAAACTATGAGGAGCGAAAAGATGGCATACACCTTTTGATTGATGAAAAGACATTAAAAGATTTGGATTTCTCCCATGATGATTTATGTCTAATGTCATATGTCACACAGACTCGAAAACCAAAAAGTTGGCAGAAGAGGTGGGTAGCGAGAACTGGAATTCCTTCAAGTGAACATAGAGGAGACAGAGGAGATGAAAATACCAAACCATCACCACCACCAACAACAAAAAGCACCAATCAGCAACAACAGGGAAAACTCTTAAGGAGGTTTTCTCTTGCATCTACCAACGTAGGCAGTCTCGTTTCAACTACAGACGGTATAAGCACAGCTAAGGATGTCAAAGCCAGTATCGGAAAAGCAAGACCTGCCTTCATTAACTTGAAATCAGTATGAATATCTACTGTACTCACCATAAAGAACAATATACGAATTTTCAACATAAATGTCAAGTCAGAGCTTCTGTGTGATGGTTGACAGACTTAGCGCGTTACGAAAAGCATTTGTTACAAACTAAAGACAATCATCAACAGCTGCCGCTTACACTCACTCAATACTGAAAATGGAGATCAAATGGCCAGAAAGAATAAGTAACAAGGAACTCTGGTCTGACTACAAACCAACGAAACAAGAACCCATCAATCAAAAATATGCAGAAGAAGAAATTGGAGATGAATTGGACATGCAGATACTTAGAAGACCATTTGGGGGCATCACACATTGTTAGGCCAGGTCCTCGAGTGGAACCGAAAGAGGGAACGACGAGTTGTGTGTCCGAGGTTGACATGGAGGAGATTGTGTGAGGAAGTTTGTTGGCAGTTGTGGAGCCAGGTTGAAAGGAGAAGAGAGAAGAGAGTGATATGGTGACGTGTTAGTGATGCCCTATATTCCACTAGAAATCCAAGGGAAAAGTAATTAATACATCAAAATTACTAGTAGATAACTCTCTGGTATTAAAATTAATCGTCACCTATTTAGAGTCCAAGTATGAACAATATTATTCACTAGAAGGCAGGTGTACATCCAGCTGATGAGTCTCAAAAAGGAAGAAACTCGTGTCAAGCTGGATTCTCCTACAAGCTACTCTCCGTCAACAACATACTAGTGTTGAGAATGCAGATTAACGTGTGATATAGAACAATCCATCAAAAAATTTCAAGTGAATACATTAAAAGGAAACAAACCAATCCGGATACTATAATTAAAAAGCAATCAACAAAGATTTCATTATCCATTTGTCTAGTTGAAAAGAAAGAGAACAGTCAAAAGTAGCTACAATCGATGATAAATTGTTTATTAGATCTGTAGTCTTGTGACCAAGCCTAAATCCACTTACCAAATCCACTCTACATCTCTAGACTAGTGAATTGAAGATGTCTGTACTCTTATTGTTTATTTTGTTGTGGTGGTAATGGTGGCATAGTTGGATTACGTTGACCTAAATATTTTCCAACTGTTCCAGGAACTGGATACATTGGCGGTGGTGTATTTGAAGTTATTACAGGTGAACCAGGTGGAATTTCTGAGGAAATCACAATAGTGGGATAAATTTTAGATGAATTTGGTACACCTCCAATATCTGATTTTAACTTCATATCTGTCCTCTCATTGGATTTCATTTGTGAATCATTTACGGAGATAATCGATGCTGCTATTAGGAAATAAAAAGAAGAGATGAAGTAATTTCTATAGCAAATTTATTCATTAAAAAAAATCCCGATTGATAGCTGCTCCTACGGTGAAGTGTTTAGGCTTGTGTATCATAATGACTCAAAGAGCTACTTTGCCTAGGAATCCTTGATGCTTCAAATTGTATTATACTAGAAACGCCTGTTAGATAGTGATGAGACAAAATGGCAGTTACTTTTGTACTTTAAATAACTACACTAGGATGCGGTTTCCTGAGCAAAGTCATCCTTTGGCTTGGTTGTGGATGTGATATCAGTTAGGTGTTTCCTGGGGATGGGGAGCAATTCATACTAATGTAACCTTTTCTATGGCAGTTTAAGGCTAGAAAGGAACTACTTCAACAGTAGCACACTTCTCCCTGCCCTGAGGTATTCCGCTAATGATGGTAACGGTTTACAGCTGGATTTTAAAAAAAAATATCTCAGGAAATTCTTATGTGACTGGAATCTGCAGACATGCATCACTGTTATCTCAAGAAGAGGTAACCTTCCACAGGGTGGGGAACTAGAAAGTGTCAACCTACCATGCAACTCTGTCAGTACTCAAGTTCCTACAAAGATTTGACTAGGTGTACAGCAATCAAGCCAGTATTTGAACAGAAATACTTTTAGAAGATATCAATCTCAGTTATAAAACTCTGCAAAATTATTACTGATAAAATTTATGATCATGAACCATTTCTGAGTGAATATCTTCAATCATTTTAGCGAAATTATTTTGACAATAACCTCTAGCGTGATGCTGAAATGTTTTTCAATATCTTTACTCATTCAAAGCTTTAGGTTACTCTTGAAGGAAGTTCTAAACTGATGTCGAATTCAGTGAATTTAAGTTGTATCACGTCCACTGTTGAGGTGAGGTCGTCTGCAACCCAATCTCTTGCACCATATTTATTCATCAGCAGACAGTAATGGGTATTTCCAACAAACTACAGACAATCATCAACAGCTGCCGCTTACACTCACTCAATACTGAAAATGGAGATCAAATGGCCAGAAAGAATAAGTAACAAGGAACTCTGGTCTGACTACAAACCAACGAAACAAGAACCCATCAATCAAAAAATATGCAGAAGAAGAAAGTGGAGATGAATTGGACATGCAGATACTTAGAAGACCATTTGGGGGCATCACACATTGTTAGGCCAGGTCCTCGAGTGGAACCGAAAGAGGGAACGACGAGTTGTATGTCCGAGGTTGACATGGAGGAGATTGTGTGAGGAAGTTTGTTGGCAGTTGTGGAGCCAGGTTGAAAGGAGAAGAGAGAAGAGAGTGATATGGTGACGTGTTAGTGATGCCCTATATTTTACTAGGAACCCAAAGGACAAAATAATAATAATAGACAATAATGGACTGAGAACTTCGCCTTTTTCGATTGATACTGAGATGTGTACTGAGTGAGCTTGGGACAGTGGCGATCAGTCGACTGTTAAGCACCACTCATATGCACACACACACACACACTCAGCTGACTATCAAACCTAGATTAAGTGGAATTGTTGCCTTGCTACCGAATAGTCTTTATAATTCAGTCGGTGAAATGTTCGGTTGGTAATCTAAGAGCTGGTGATTAGAATCTGACAGAAATCAAAATATTCTTTCACCCTCAATCATCGCCTCCATGGCTTTCGTAATGATGTTGAAAAGTGGCATCTTGCAATAAATCAACTTGTGAAACTCCTGAACATTAAGTTATCTGAATGAAGACATCTTGTTTTTCAATCAACTGGCTTATGAAGAAATGATTTTCTAAATTCATTATAACACAACGTAATCATCTTTTAGTGACTTAAAACTCTTTAAAAGTGTGCATGTCTAACTTCATGAAGGATTAAGACCTAGATAATCAAGTCAAGTAGGAATTCAACAGTCCATATTTCAACTTAGTGATTAATTAGTAAGACAGTTCACATGAAACTTTGGTATCCTGTTTACAGTCTAGTGCTTAGTCGTAGGTATCGACTATTTAGGAGTCTCTGATTGATAATAATCTATGGAAAGATTGAAACTGTAGTGAAATTAATTTTTATTTGATACTTGTAATCTCCTATTTCGACTCTTATTCGAACTATTCTACCTTAGTTGGCGGATGGACTTCTTTGCAGTCAACTTGATACTGAGTGAATATTCATTATGTTGTAGTATATTGATGAACAAATAGCTCTTCCTATTCATGAGTGTTGTTGTTTCCTTTTGTGGAGAATCGAAACCGATACCCATTATTTCAGATGTTAAAGCGTTATCCATTAAGCCACTAAGGCAGCATAGCCACCTCTTGTGCAATCGATATCAGTTGTTATTTTTATACATGACGTCTAAAGCGGTTGGTAATCGGTTCAGGTCTTAGTGGGGGGTGGGCAGGGATACAGGTACACTCGGCTGACGAGCCCCAAGTAAAACGAAAACCGCATCAACCTGGATTCCACTCCTGGCTCCACAGAACAGACATCAACAAAATTAGTTTTTATTTAGCAAAACATTTCAACAGTTTTCCTTACCATCTTGTTTTCTTCGTTTTCTTCTGCAATGATAGACGATGATTACAGCGATAAGTATTATTGACGCCAAGGATAAGACAATAGTGATTGGAATAATGATTTCTTTTCTCAATTTAGATACACTTTTGTAATGAAAGAGAGGTAGATGTTTTCAATTAAGCATATGAATTAAATCTGTTTATTTACAAAAATTACAAGACGTTAGATCTACTGACATTTAAGTGGAGAATTAAGGCGCTCCGGCAGAGTGTAATTCCATATTGGCATGGTCTATCACAGCATAATTAGAGTAAAGTTTGCTGCTCCTAATCATATTAATGTTATCAAACAACTTCCTGGTTTGGTTTTTATGGTCCTATTGTTCTTTTCATTTATCGATTTAGTTGGTAGTAAAGTGATCCACACATCTAGAATTGGTGTTGTCATTTTGATTACACGTGTTAAACATTGAATAGATGAACAGAGGTTCGGTAACCAATCTCTCTCTCTCTCTCCAATTAAGTAAATTAGCCCTCATGATGTATTGTGTGGTTGTACGTTACCGTATCCACAGTTAACTGAATTCTGCTATAGATTGTTGATTTTCGTACAGTCCATTACCCAAGATATTTGAAGTTGGGGTTTTGTGGGGATTAAGTGGTTTTTTCAAGTTGGTAATCGTCATGGACCGACATCAGTTTAAGGAACATTGGGAATCAGGGAGAACTGGACAGCTGCTTCGTCCTAGTATGGGACTCCTCAGTAATGCGCACCTATGACCCCAACTCGTCAGGAATCGAACCCAGGTGGTTCATATTCCGTAGCACGACCATCACCAAACGGCATACTTGAGTTAGGTATACCAGCTTGCCAGCTTCAGTTTATCCAAACATTTCATCCCCATAAAATCTCCAAGCTGAATGAACCAACTGCTCATTGGCGACTTGCTTCGAGAGATGATTCTTGAAGTTTCAATCAGAAGCTGTGACGAGTGGGGCAAACCTGATGGACGTGAAAATAAATATTCACCAATGACCCAGTGGCTTTATGGTAATGTGTTGACTACGGAACCTAAAGGTTCTCAGTTCGATCCCTGGCGAGGGGTGACGGGTATGGAGTACTAGGACGCAACAGCTGTCCAGTGCTCACAGTCTTCCGGTGTTCCTCCAGCTGATGTCAGTCAGTGATGAATACCAATCTGAAAAATCAAATTTTAACTAGGTCCCTGTGTTCTCCTAATCTGACCAACAACCGTTCGGATAGTTTGAATTGTTTACTTGACAGGCACAGTAGTAGCAAAGAATTTGGCGAGTTAGATTATCCTCTCTAAATCCTTAAGCCAACAAAGTTTGTTTCCTAGGATTGTTGAGAATCCTATGCAGGGTTTCTAATATCTCTCCCGTATACGCCAACACTACACAGGACCGGAATTCTTTCTTAATTGTGTTATAATCATTATTCACATCACTATCTTACCTCTTTTCCTCCATTCTCATGTATATTTCTGGATAAACTTTAGAGGATAGTTGCTAAGAGGTATGGTTTGTCTTATATATTTCATTTCTTCATTTAAATGATCTAACTTACTGGATTTCAAGATTATTAGCTCGATTACGTAAACAGATATAGACTACGATGGTTTTAACCTTATAAATCTATCATCCAGATATCTTCACCGTAATTTCGTCATAGGATATAATGTTCTGAGGGACATATATTCCCAGTGGTTCATAAAAATATCTCTTACGACTAAGAATATTTGCGACCTATAGCTGATCATTCCGTTTGTTGACATATTTTATGCTGCAATTTGAAGAATGTAAAGGTGTAAAACTTAAGTGAACACCTAATATGATATAACCTCAGTTCCATAAGTGAGAGTCAGATCATTTTGAACCATACTGATTGATATATTAGCATGCAAGACTGTTTCATCAAAACGAATCATTCTTTTTACTGTTGTACAACTAAACATAATATAACCATGACTTCATTTCATATGAAGCAGTTAGTTTAGATTTTTGATAGTTTCTAACAGAGTATAGTATAGACGTCTAATATTTAAATCGTTCACACAGTTGGATGTTCTTCAGGTCATACAATATATCCGGATTATTAGTTTGAGGCATTCAAGTAAACTTCGTGTTTATTCAATGATACACAAGTCTCATTTCTTCCTAACTGAGACTCATCAGCTGGCCTAGTGGGTAACGCTTTGGTGATTCAAGTGATGGGCACCACCTTCGAGTCCTAGTAGGAACGACATTACTCATTGGAGTGTGAATTCATCAAGTTGATGAGTCCGAAATAGGATGAAACATGCATCCTGGATTGAGCTGATAGTGACTGTCCATCATTAATACGATTTGTATAGCTATTTGGGACACCTCAGGAGTACGCACTCACGACCCGGCCAGAAATCGAACTCAGAACCTTCAGGTTTCACGTTGAATGCATTGACCATTCAGCCACTGGATTGGTTTTTAGTGGTTCACAGTTTCCAACTGCTATCAATTCACTGCTAAGGAGTCCCATACTAGGACGAAACAGCAGTCTAGTGCTCTCAGATTTTCAGTGGTTCCCTATTCATTTCAAAAATACATAAATGGTATTATCAACATTTAAAGAAACTGTAGTCATTTATAGACTAAAGTGAACACCTTTATCTATTCTCTTAACATTACAAACACTTTTTCATCATAGAAATAAAAGTTATCTGTGAAGAATTGAAATGTTGTCGATTAACAAGCACTGGTTCTCATTAATACATACACACACACTTTCACAGATATACCAGTTGTAGATTAAACGTTTTGAGTACGTTTACTTGATTTGTTGCTTTCTATACTAGTTATCGATCCAGTTTCTTACAATCTTCTAATGAGAATGTTTAGCTACCTATTTTGACACTACTCTACTTGAGATTATGATACAACGTATCCTTTCCACTCCATCATTAGGTCAATCACAACAAGGAATACCTTAGTCATAACCTTACTGATAACGGTACTGGATATTGCAACTTGGAACCGTTGAGAAGACTCCAGTTCAGTTGAGATGATTACAGGTACAGGTTGCTGACGACTGCCGACAACTACGAAACTTAAGTTAAACAGAGTTTCATACTCTTGGTTTTATTGTATTCTCTGAGCTAAGTTGTTTAATCGTGAAGCTTTCATCTTCCTTCTAGACGATATCATCAGCACTAACTTCAGTATGAAGTGAGCTGTCAATATCTCTCCGTCAGTGATTCGGTAGCTTGCTCTGACGATGTTGTCTATGATTGGTTGTTTCTTTCGATTGTTGTGTCATTGACTGTATAGACTTTCCTGTTGGCTGTTCCTCTGCTTCACATCTCACCTTTCTGTCGTTATCATCTTTCTTATTGGCTGGTAGATTGGGTCTATGTCTATACATCTGTTGATTGCTGACTGACTGACTGATGTGAATGCCAAGCTTCGAGGAATTCTCTGACATTCTCTGTGTTTCCTCTGTCTAAAATTTCTACATTGTCGAAATTGAATTCATGTCCATAGTTGTTTTCCACGTGCATTGAAATGAGTGATGAAATTTCGTGGCGTTTAATAGTCGATTGGTGCTCATGTAGACGAAGGCGACCACTTTGTCCAATGTAGAGTTGACTACAATTATTGTAGTTATGGACATGAATTCAGTTTCGACAATGTAGAAATTTTGGACAGAGGAAACACAGAGAATGTCAGAGAATTCCTCGAAGCTTGGCATTCACATCAGTCAGTCAGTCAGCAATCAACAGATGTATAGACATAGACCCAATCTATCAGCCAATAAGAAAGATGATAAACGACAGAAAGGTGAGATGTGAAGCAGAGGAACAGCCAACAGGAAAGTCTATACAGTCAATGACACAACAATCGAAAGAAACAACCAATCATAGACAACGTCGTCAGAGCAAGCTACCGAATCACTGACGGAGAGATATTGACAGCTCACTTCATACTGAAGTTAGTGCTGATGATATCGTCTAGAAGGAGGATGAAAGCTTCACGATTAAACAACCCAGCTCCTCAGAGAACACAATACAACCGAGACCATCCACATGAGCTACAAATATTCTCCACTATTTCAGAGTTTCATACTGACTGCTTCCAACCAAATTGTTTACTGCACACAACAGTGCAGTATTATTTACTCAATGACGTTTCGGGCTGAAATTATCGTTCATAATCACATCGAAGTAATCATATGACTTTCAAACTTTCTTTATATACTCCAGCAGTTACCTTTTTTATTTTAACTGTGATAGAATATTCCTGATATTTGTAATCTTGGAGGAATCACTCCTGATACATATGAATTAGATATTGACTCAATGAAAACAGATTTCATTGATCGATCTCTCTGCCTCCACCTAGAACTGTATTAGATTTTAGACTAAACTTCAACATACCATTAGCTTAAATCACACCTGAAGATGTCACCCACAGAATGCTGATCATGAATGTGTACAGTATGCACTAACACTAAGACACCAAAAGAAAGAGGAGGAGGAAGAATTTGAGGAGACCAGAAATGTTGCCTCTGAGAAAATTATGAAACAACAGTAGTATAGTAATCATTAAACGTGACAAAAGCTACTCAAAATTAGCCATAAATAAGGAGGATTACTTGAAAAAAGAGAATGGAAATACAGAAACAGGACCATATGAGAAAACTGAAAGACCTACAGACAAAGTTATGAATTAGATAAATAATAGTCCAAAGCTGATCTAATAAGCTGTATGAAACCATCTCTCAGAAAGTCTTAGTGGTTAAATCTAATGTTTTACGCTAAAATTCCTCATAGAATTGGAATGAAACACAAACTAAGTAATATTCAATTAGAGGAGGGAGAAAAGATGGTCAGTTTCTATGTGACGAGCCTCTATACAAATATGCTAACTAATACAGCACTTGACGCAGTCAGAAATGAACTCACAACTGATCATGTACTCAATAATAAAACTAAAGTTCCAACTGAAGTAATTACATTAGCGATATGATTATATCTAACTTCTACAGTTTTCAAATTCCAAGACAAAATATGCAAAAGAACAGAAGGAGTGTAGCGATGTAATCTCCAATATCACCGATTTTACCAGATATATTCATAGAAAATTGGGAA